ACAAAAGGTGCAATGGGGAATGTCAGGTCCAGCTTTCCTTCTAGACGACACTGAGCCACAATTCAGAGCAAGGAGTTCTCATATACTGTATACAATGTACATAGCTGTAATAGGTATGGAATTGGTTTTGTTCATTTTAATTATTTGCACTGGTTTACATTACATTTTTCCTCTTTCCTAGTGTTTGTCCCATCTTGTCCAAAGTTTTTCCCCTTATTTAAAATTGTTTTAATCATATTGTATTACGCTTGCTGTAAGCTGCCTAGAGTGGTCTTAAGTGACTATATAGGCGGGACATAAATAAAATTAATAATAATAATATTATTTTTAAAACTGATCTCGAGTCTCTTCATCTATTTAATGTTGCTATAACATCCCAACACTGCTTTGTGATCTTTTGATGCGGATTTTAGCTACAAATATTTTAATAAATAACCAACAACAAACCACAGGCAAAAGGGGAAAATCCTTCATGCCACTCTAACTTCCAAGGTAACAGTCTCCTGTCTGGTTGCACCTCAACAGAAAGCTACGACTCCCTGGGTAGGTTTTAACTCTTTGGTTGAACCGATCTGTGAATCTATAATGGTTATTCTCTCTCTCTCTCTCTTTAAAATTATTGGCTAGAATCCTTCTGGTGTTTACATTAGGTTGACGCATCTTGCTACAGCTAATTGGAACTGATGGACAACATGCCAGAATGAATCTTGGGTGCGCATCAGGTGACCAAGATACACTTCAGCACATTGTCAATCAGCTGTGCAAACTTTACACAAACTCTGAGATGCGTCGGCCCCTTGTTGCCAAAGCCACCGCTTAAGAGCTAAGTGAGCAAGCAAGGTTTTAAAGAAAGAAATTAAGCTCCTCTCTGTATTTGGGGGAAAAGATGAACAACATCTTCCAGGAAATGTAAGTATAGTCTCCGTTGGATTAAAAACAAAATAGGTTCACAGCCACTTGTTTTCTGTTAATTACCTTTCCGGACTGCATTTCCTATTCAGCTACCTCTTACCTTGATTTTGAAAGCTCTTTTAAAGCCGCTGGCAAAAAATCCTCCAAAGGGACCAATTAGGGAGGCAAATGTGGAGAGGGCGATGCTGTGTATCTGGAAGGGGTACATCCGGACTGTTTTCTGCAGGAAGGAGAAAGCATAGGCGTCAGGTCCAGCAGCGTGAATCACGCGGGCAGGAAAAAGGTTAGTTATTTTGCGCATGATTAAAATGACTTCATGCTTTCTGTAAAATTGTTCTTATCCTGGATGAGCCACCTTGGCCAACACATGAGAGAGAACAGTTTTCAAAAATCCAGCCACACAAATCCTGCCCTTTCATTCACACCCCGTAACTGTATAAGCACAACTTGGAAAATGAAGAGTTATATACTGCCAAAGGAGTAACGTTGTCCCTTGATATGACTGCAATGAAACTTGGTACACATTAGTTCTTGAAAAAAGGAATTAATTACCAGTAATTTGTTACTTCCAAGTTCTGCACCTGCAGAGTAAACTCCAAAGACAGAATCTTTCTTTCAAAGATGCTAATTTCCCACATGCCCGGATAAGATCCAAAGCAAGTGTCTGGGGAAAGTATTAGCGCATGATAATGCTGAGTGAACGAACGCGTGCGGTCTTATATGTACAGTTGCCTTGTGAGCCAGCCCCATAAGAGCCAACCTGGGACTCAACTGAGCTTTGTGACACTTCCACTGTGAAATGGAACGATCCTCCACCGCCTTTCCATTTGGCCGCTGTGGTTCAGACCCCCACACCCCTGAGGGTTAGGGATGCAACCCCTAAAGCCTCACACGTACACAACACCTGCTTCACAAAACCATTAAGCAAAGCTGTCCGGCGCTGGGTGCACGAGCATGGGACACTTACCCAGCCAATGACCGACTGAAGCACCATGGGGATGTTATACTCTTGAAGCTGGAAGAGCTCAGGCGGTTCACAGTCCACCATGAAGCTGTTGGTGTCGTTGTTGAACTCCACGGGGCAGACGAAGCATCGGTACCCGGACATCACGTAGGACAGCTGGGTGGTTGTGGAGGAAATGGAAGAAATCAGTAAATTAATCACGGCCATGATTAACAACAAAAGCTGGCGTCCGTTAAGGAAAGAGGATGGCCCAATACGAGATGAACGGACTCAATAAATGAATCCGTGGTCTTCTGTTTGCAAGATCTGAGCGAGGCTGTTAAGAACATGACCTTCTAGAGATCAGTAATCCATAGAGTTGCCCTATGTTGGCCGTTGATAGTTATTTCCAAGAGACCTTTCTGAAGCCATCATTACCCTCTGCTCTACAACTGGAGATCTTCTGGGAAGACCTTATCCTGCAAGTGAGTCTTCTTTCGTCTCGCATCACCAACGGCACCCAAATTCTCCCTTCCGAGGTGCCTGCCTCCACCCTGCACTAAATGAAGGCCACCCGTCCTCCACTCACCCCCCCCAGGTTCTTTACTTGGTCTTAACAAAGAGAATGCCAGCTCCCAGCTTACCAAAAGCCCAAACACAACGGTAGCAAAGAATCCGCCAATGAACCCTTCCCAGGTCTTCTTGGGCGAGAGCTGCAGATACAAGGACAGGAACGGACAGGAAAGGTGAACAGCAAACTCCTTGGCCAGCAGGTCCTGCCAAAGGCTGGCAGCCCATCGGAGCCCTTCCATTCCCCCTTCCCCAGGGCTTGAACCAACCTTAATCAGCGGAGTCCGCCCGAAGAAAAACCCGAACATGTAGGCCATGATGTCGTTGCAGATGACACAGGAAATGGGGACAATAAACCTAGGGGGCAACAATGGGAAAATCCAAGGGAAGATTTTAAAAAGAAACTCCAACCACCCTGCAGTGGATCTTTCTGGATTTAAAGAGTAACAGACTAGGCTCTCTGGTCTCTCCATACATGGTGGCTACAGCATTGAGACAAACCCCAGGCCTGCACTGATGGCTCAGGGAAAAGTCCTGATTTTTGGGAGATGAATGCACCAGCAGTCAAATAGACAAGAAAAAGATACTGTTTCATCCGGTGGAGCTGCTTCTTCTCACATTGTTTTCAGAATTTTGGTTTGCCAAAGCCAAGCTCCTTTTACCAACTAGAGCCTCAAGCCTCAATTTGACCTTTTGGCTTTCAAAAACGACAAATATGCCATGAAAGTATGGATTCCTTTATCTTGATTCTGCCAAGACATTACGACAAGAGCGGCTTAAACAGATTTCAAGATCAAGAGTCCTCCTTTATTCTACCAGGGATTACCAGGTTTTGTAGCTACGACAAGAGACCCGCCGGCATTCTGTGATAAAATCACAGCACAGCTTTGCAAAATATTTGGAGAAAATAAAAGGGTTCTCCCAAACCTATGAAATGTATTGTGTGTGTGTGTGTGGGGGGGGGAATTCAACTGGAGAAAATAAAAGGGTTCTCCCAAATCTATGAAATGTAGTGTGTGTGTGTGGGGGGGAATTCAGGATTAGCATCCACAGATTTCCAGTGAAAGCACGTCTTCAAAAGATGAGTCTTTCTCAAGACAGATAGCAGAGAAAGAGAGTCAAAGGCCCACATTTGAACTGCTGCAATCTTAGTAAACATTCTTCCGCCCTCTTCGATGCTATTCACATTTTTTAAAAGCCTGTGTATTTAAATGCAAAGAAGCAACTCGGGTCCCATCCACCCTGGCCCTTGATGGCTTTTCTTGCCTAAACAGCCCATATCTGGACCCTGAGATAACAAAGGACATTTCCATACAGCAAGAAACAATGGCCTTTGAATCTCTCCCTGAATCAGGATATGTTTTAGGCATGGAAGAAGCACAACCATATATATTTTGCTCTGCCATGGGGTTCAGAAACCAGACTGAAGCATTATGAAACAGAGAGGATTTAGGGTCACGCGGGAAACCTTATGGGGTGCATCTACTTGAGGAGCCTCGTGGCGCAGTGGTTAAACTGCAGCACTGCAGCCAAAACTCTGCTCACGACCCAGGGTTCAATCGCAGGTAGCCGGCTCAAGGTTGACTCAGCCTTCTATCCTTCTGAGGTCGGTAAAATGAGTACCCAGCTTGCTGGGGGGGGGGAGAGATGTGTAGCCTGCATAACTAATTTGTAAACTGCCCAGAGAGTGCTTGAAGTGCTATGGGGCAGTATAGAAGCAGCACGCTTTGCTTTTTTTTTTTTTTTACTCTTGGTTGGCAACAAAGCACCCCCTAGTGCCTGATTAATCTCTCCCCCCCCAGATTTAGTTAAGAGCACACGCATTCAAGCACAGCAAAATGGCCCAGAGAAACCCAGCACTCTAGCAAGGATTTCCCCAAGTTAGGAATCCCGCCCCCCCTGGAGGCACCATCATGCCAACCCCAAAGGACCCCCTGCCATACCAAGTGCAAACAAGGACACGGATCAGCGTGTCTCCCCCCCCTCCCGAGTCTGCTGCCCCAGCGGGCTGTTAAGCAGCCCCCCCTCGCCCCCCCATGCAAAAGGCCCAGCTCCCATGCCAGCCTCCTGGAGGGAAAAACAAACCCTGAAAAGCGGCGCCGACTCACCAGATCATTCCTTCAAACAGGTTGTGAATGATGAGGTGCGACTGAGTAACAACTATTAGCAAAGTCACATGGGTCCAGCCAAACTAGAAAGAGAGAACACGCAATCCAGTTTGCAAGGGGGGGAAAAACACACCAAACCTTGGTTTCTTAAAGATAAGCCAAATGCTGATTATGAGACCAACAGAGAGAGAGAGAGAGAGAGAGAAAGAGAGCGCAAGCGAAGACAAGCAATAAGCAACCGCATGCAGTCACACGCAAGACTTTTGGCACCACAAGGACGGGCACAGAGGCTGCACCTTGTGGTGTCTTAGCTGGAATTGAGCAAGGGTATCAGAGACTTACCTGCTGAAAAAACAAATGAAACAAAAAGACCTGAAAGGGGCCAGTCTGAAAGGTCTACCCAGTGTCCGGCCTCCAAAGTAAGCCCGACCCAGATGCTTCACCCTGTTTAGAGAGCAATGCTGTGCAAAAACACACGGCCCTGTGGCAATCCAGAAACATCTGGACTGTTGCGTCCTGTATACGTGGGTCCTAGAGGTGGGATGAGCCACCGAGGGTTAAAAGAGGGGCCTCTGAACAAGGTTCAGAGGACTAGCTATTTGGGGTCTTTCCAGGGATGCCTCTGGATCACAGAATCACAGATTCTATGACCATCCAAAATATATATCAGAGAATCATTTGAGTTGGAAGGGCCCTCCTAAGGCCATCCAGTCCAACCCCCCTGCTGAAGGCATGAACCAAATCAAATCCAGATCTGACAGAGGGTGGCCCAATTTCCCCTTGAAGGCCTCCAGGGTTGGAATGCTCACCACCTCCCTCTGAGGTCATGGGTTCCATTGTTGTACTGCTCTAACAGTTAAGAGGTTTTCCCTGATCATGTTTAATGGAAAGAAATGTCACAAACAACAGCAGCAGCAACAACAAAAAACCAGTAAGAAGTTCAAGATGTGTGCACATCGGCATGTGAATCTCAGAGGCTGAAAGAAAACCAGGTGGAGACTCCCAGTATATTTAGACTGTCAGGAATTGCCCACCCCCACCCCATGCGCCTGGCCACATCTAAACGTGCAAAGGGGGAAAAAACAGGGAGATTTTAAAGCTTGTTTTCATGCCAAGATTTGAGGGACCTGCTCACTTCCACCTCTCTCTCTCTTTCTCCCTTCCCATCTTTCACAAGCTATTAAGTCTGAAAGCGCAACATCCATTTACTTGATCTTACCATGTAGAATTGGAGGCGGTAATGCTTTTTGACCAGACTCAAAACAAACATGCAGAAGCCTAGAGACGGGAGGGAAAAGAGAAGGAAAGAGAAATGAAGTAAACAAAGTGCTTCTCCCAGTAGCACGTCAGGGAGTCCCCGCTGGTACCCTTGCTTCAGAGAAGACAACAGGCACCTCCCTCCCACCCCGGCCTGGCCAGCTTACCAAAGACGTGAACTCCCTACCCTGTTCCCCTGAAAATACGACCTAACCTGAAAATAAGCCATAATGAAGTGAAACCCCGCCCTCCACCCTTGTGCAGCAACCAGCAGATGATGACATGACTGTAAAATAAAACATCCCCTAAAAATAAGCCCTAATGCGTTTTTTTTGGAGCAAAAATTAACGTAAGACCTTGTCTTATTTTCGGGGAAACACGGTAGCCTCCCACATAGGGTTCAATGCATTATGGAGGCAAGTGCTGCATACACACGGGTAAGACCCCTCCACTGATGACACCATTGGCCAGTTTTTTAAAAAATGGAACAGGTTTTGTGACCCCCACCCACCCATCCTAAAAGGAGATTCCTGTCCTCAAGCACAGTGACCAGCAGGAAGCGCTTTAAGCTATAAAAAAAACTATGGTGTTTTTAGTCTTACCCAAATTGGGCCTTTTGATATCCTCCTAGGCAGGCCCTGAGAACTTTTCTGAAAGTGAACTTCCCGGGGGG